TCCTTCCTCTTGCCTCCTCCTCCTCCTCCTCCTCCTCCTCCTCCTCCTCCTCATCTTGCTCCTCCGTTTTCTCGTCCTCCTGTTCCTCCTCGTAGGGGGTGCAAAACGGGGGAGGGGAAGGGGGGCGGGATGGGGATGACAGATGGGGGGCGGGTTGTGCGTGCACGCTCGGGGAGGGACAGCTGGAGGGCAAGGCGGAAGAGAAAAGGGGAGGTCGGGCGGAGGGGCGAGAGAGGAGCCAGGGGCGGCAGATGCAATTGCGAGATGGCGCCGCCGCCGCCGCGTTCGACGCGGTGGTCGCCGTCGTCGTCCCCGCCGCTGCCGTCGTCGTCGCCGCCGACGCCGTCGTCGTCGCCGCCGTCGCCGCCGTCGCCGTCGCCGCCGTCGCCGTCGTCGTCGTCGTCGTCGCCGCCGTCGCCGCCGTCGCCGTCGTCGTCGCCGTCGCCGTCGTCGCCGTCGTCGCCGTCGTCGCCGTCGTCGCCGTCGCCGCCGTCGTCGCCAGACGGCGCCCGGCGCGCAAAGGGCCGGCCTCCGACGCCCGCCGCGCCGCGGCCAGCTCCGCCCTCAGCGCCGCCGCCTCTGCGCGGCGCGCGGCCAGGTGCCGCGACAGGTGGTCGCGGGCCTCCTCGGGCCGGGGGGGGGGCCCTCCGCCTGGTGCACGCACGTCGGCCACACAGAGGTGTGCTGAGAAGGTTGGACGCCCCAAAGGATGAGAGAATTCATGGGTTGCGGTGGCGGCGTTGGAGAAAAAACTGAACCATTGATAAGAAATGCGGAGTCCCAGGACCCCCCTCGCGTAGCTCGGCAGTGCGCAGAGGGGGGCAAGGGGAGGGGGTATCATGAGTGTCATGATCGCCACAGTCACAGTGGCAGGCGGGACTAGCGAGAGCCAGGGATTAACCGACGCCCCTCGACGCGCCGGACCTGACTGACAGCGGTCTCCAAGACAGGGGCCGAGGGACCCTTGTGGCCAGGGAAAAGCCCTCGGCGAATTCGGAGGAGATTCTCGTGCCCTTTCTTAGAGCACAGGGAGCACTCGCTGCGTAGTTGCCTCGGGTCGACTGCAGCCGAACGGCCACACCGAGCACAAAAATACAGCGAATGCTCGGGCCAAAAATGCAAACAGTGACTGGGATGCAAAGACTCCCCCCCCCACCGTCACCGCCCGCCTCGCCCGAGAGATCCCGTGGCCAAGCTCCTGCAACGTCTCGCCATCGTCCACAGCGGGGCAGGGCTGGCCGCAAGCCTCGAAGACATTCGCCGAGGGAAAGATAGTCGAGCAAAGTGAGCAAATCCACTTCGCGCTAGTTTTACTTAAACAGTGCGAGCTACCTCTAAGGGCAGCCTGAAGTTTGGTGACAGTGGAACGGCCCAGCTTGGGCCTGTCCGCGGTCCATGGGGCCACACGAATGGACTCCGCCAGCGCTTGGGCGGCCCGTTGGCGGATAAAAAAACAGGTGGCGCCCCATCGGTCAGTGTCAGGGATACGCTGACCGCGAGTAGCAAGGTCCCAAGACTCCTGTGCAGCCTGGCCCGCCAACTCGTCAGCAGACTCGTTACCCGCCGCGAGAAGAACCTGGTCATCCGACAAGGAGGGTCAGTGGGATCCAGGTGGGAAGGGGTCCACAAAACAGAAATCCCGTTCTCGCGGCCCTCAAGGGCCAGGCGGATACGAAACCAAAGATCCGAATTCACACCGCTGATGTGAAGGGAACGGCGCCGCCGCCACCCCTCTAACAGGGGCTGGTTGTCAGTTACATACTCAAAATCCCCTGGGACGTTGCGGAGAGCCAGCTCAAAGGCCAACAGCTCAGCCCTGGGGACCGTCTGACGGCGGCCTGAGATGGCGGAAGCCCAACCCTTTAGTCGGCACCACTTGGTGCCATCCCAGGCCACCAGCACAGCGGCCGCACCGACACGTCGGCAGCGAGGGTCGGAGCTGAAGGCACCTCCAGAGCCATCTCCAAAGACCCGCAGGAGCCCCGAAGGAGACCTGGCCGCAGCGACAGAGGACCCCTCGACTAACGACGACGACGACCCCACCTCCCAAGCCACATCCGCCCCACCATCCTTGAACACAGGGCAGGTGAAAGACCTAGGAGGCAGGCCACGGAGCCACAAGGCGGGATTAGCCTCGTGGCCCACTCTGGCCTGGTGGCAGAGGCCGTCAGAGAGCTCAAAGGCCTCATGATTGCAATTCTTAGGACATTCCCACACTCTGTGAACAAAAGCGTTTCGGGTGCCAGCCCGCATCGGGGACAGGTAGTGGCTACAGCATACCCCGCCTCGAGTTGGCGAACGTGGGTCCACTGGCCCCCTGACACGACAGTCGTGAGAAGGCCTACCTGGTCACACTGACCCTGACGCTCGAGACGCCTCAGTTCCTGGCGCAAAGGTTGGAGGTCAGCCCCCTCGGCCAGGTCGTCGCCGTGAGGGTGGGCCGCTGCCTGAGCCCACAAGAGCGCATTCAAATCTTCCCTGAAACCGTCGACCAACTCAGCGACATCAAAGTCGCCCTCAAGGCGCTCAATGTCGTCTCGATCGGGAAAGTGCCAAACTTCATATTGGTCACCCACAGGTCTGTGCCATTCAACGGGGGGCACAGGCTTCCAGCCGACGTCCAGTAGCGTGGCGACGACGGCCCCGATCGGACCCCTCACCCGGCGCCAGCGTTTCGAGGCCAAAAGGTCAAGGCGGCCCCGAATGTGGTGCCACGAGCGGGAGATACGGGCATGCAACTCAGGGAACCGATTCCACAGGTCAAACCACGTGAATAAAACCTGAGCCCTCAAAGCGATGAAGGGCTCGCGTTCGGCATAAAACAGAGAAAGCACCGTGGTAAGAAAACGACCTGGACTTTTACTGGCAGCAGATTGGGATGCCTGACGCCTCAAGGCTAGGATTGATGAAGGGGAGAGGCCCATGGCCTGATGGCCATAAACGGCCTGGGGGAGCGCCCCCTGTAACCAGAGCCCCTGGGACAGTTTGGCCGCCTTGGCGTGGCGTCGCAAGCGCCGAATGCACTGCGATCGCGGACGGGCCTTCCTCTGACGGTCCCAGAGCTGAACGACCACCAGACGAGCCCCACCTCCCGTGTCGCAACCCAGGTCAACAGCTTGGACCGCCAGGGAGGCTGGGATGCCTACCTCCCTCAGGTTGGCCACAATGCGCTTACCAACCTTAGGAGAGGATGCAATGACCTTGGTCTTGGGCGAAACGGGCAGTTGATGCAAGGCAAACGATCGGGCGAAAGACTGGCCAACCGTGGAGAGCTGAGCGATAACATTCTCCTCAGTACCCTCGGCCCGCGCCACGGTGTCATCAACAAAGGTCCAGAGGCCCGCGGAGGAGACAAGGGCTCGGGCCCCCGAGGCCGCATGAGCGGCCGACAGAATCGGACGCAGGAAAACCTTGGCGAGTTTGACACCGTGTGCAGATCCTGCCACAATAGAACGGGTGGGAAATGTTAAATCCGACGCGATGTTCCTGGACCGAAGGATCCTGGGAGCAAGGAACATCTGCACTTCTAAAAGGGTGACAATCGAGGGGAATCCCTGCTCGACCGAAACACGCATGAATAACAGCATGCTGACGTGGTCATATTTTTTTCGAGGTCGGGGAGGAGGGAGGCCGAGGTGAAACCCAGCTGGAAGGAGGACTCATCTAAGATGGCCCTCTGCAGAGCCGCTCTAAGAGCCGAGGACCCTCGGATCGCCGTGTCCCAAAACTCACCGAGGTCCTGGGACCACTGGTCCGTGATCGGGGCCCGAGCTCTGGACCAGACTCCCATGCAGGTCGGCAAAACACCGATGACCCTGTCACCTCCTGAAGGTTTCGGGACGGTCGCTCCGACGGCAAGCAAAAGCTGGACAGGCCTCGAGCCTACCCTCTCAGCTTCACGCAGCACGTCGCCGAACTGCTGCTGCCCCTCGGTCGGCAGCCTCTGAATGTCGATGGGGCTGAGGACGTCCACACCTCGAGCCTTGTTGGGAGCCATCCTGGAGACAACTCTCATGATGCAATCGTCCTCAAGCTCGCTGATGGGGTGGCCGCGCGCGTGCTGGAGCAGCAACTGCATGCCCTTGCACAGGTCCTCGCGCGACGCCTGCGGATCAGTCCAAATAGTCCGCCACGCCTGCAGCTTGTGCTCCATGAGCTCGTCAGGGTCCCCAGTGGCCTCCTCGGGTCCATCGCCAGGAACTTCAAGCGCTGCAGGCTGTTGAGGGTCGCGAACGTGTCGATGGACCACAGATGGTCTGGTGCGCCAGCAGTCCCTGGCCCACTTCACGTAGGCGGCGCCCGAGGACACTGAGGCCCGACCCCAGGATCGTGAGCACCAAGTCTCCGTGGCCTCGCCAAGCCGCTCCAGGGTTTCGACGTCCAAAGGTGGCCCATAGATGAGACAGGCCACATCAAACCACTCCTGTACCTCCTGGTGAGGGGCCCTGGGGCCGAATAAAACGGCCCTCGGCTGGGCCTCGGCCTGGTCAATCAGGCTGGAAATGGAAGTAGGGGCAAGGGGAGGGGGGGAAGGCTTCTCTCAGAGGGAGGCTGCTTCTCAGAAGGCGCCGGCCTTGCACGTCTGCAGAGAGGGCGCGCGCCTTCTGGGAAGCAGGGGTGCTTCTAAGAAGCCTTCCCCCCTCCCCCTACCCCCGCTCTGCGCGTGGCCAAGTTGTGAACAAATCGTGGCGGGGGGAGGGGGGTCGCTATTGTCGGCCTTTGGGGGCCCTCACTGGGCCTCGGGACCGCCCAAAAGCGACTCGGGATGGAAAGCTGGTCCCGAAGAAGGGGTCCAGACCTCTGGGGGTCGGCGTTGCGAAAAAGTCACGGCGTCGGGGGTCTGGGAAGCCCACACGTCGGTCGTTGAAGGTAGGTATTTCTGGACTCCCATGTCCCAGTCTGCGTCAAGCGCCCTCCTACTTCGCAAGAGCCGATCTGTTCTTGCTGCGTTTGGGTTATTCTCTGGGAGGGCCTGGACCCAAAGTACTTTACCCGCCTTCCAACTTCACGTTTTTACATACTTCTTCCGACCGACGTGTACAGTTCCCGGATAGCTCGCAGAGGGCTAAAAGCGTTGTGAGGTTCGAAGCCGGCACCGCAAGGTTTCGTTCCAGCCTCCAGCAGGACACCACGCAGCGCCTCCTGTGAGGTCGCAGCGTGTTCGCACTTCGGGCAGGCGGGCCACATTGGCGACGAAAGAAAACGGGTCTTACGCGAGCAGGCATATCGACATGACGCGGTGGCTCACGAAGGCCGCCAGCGCGGCACGCCACATTGCAAGCAAGGGCGCTTACGCGCGACCTTACGCGGGCAGCTTACGCGCCAATGTCGGTGAAGACGGCCCCATATTTTACGTCGCTCACATGCGAGTCCTACTGTCATGAGGGGCAACGACGACCGTTTTTTGGAGATTGTGAGAGATTTGACAACTCGTTTTGGAAAACTCTATTTTGATTCCCTGAAGTGGATCATGGTCGTTTCACGGTGAAAGTCTCGGAGCTGTAGCTGCAGTGCAGCTCTCGAACATTAGGGGGAACCACTGGCCGTCGGGATGCAGTTTTCGAGATGATCATGGTTTCGTGAACTTAACGAAAGGAGGAAGCGAACTACACAGCTCAAGCATCCTCTGCACCTGTAGTAGATTATTACGCGTTGGCCTGTCGAATTCTCCGGTCTTTAGCTTCAGTACTACTGGGGGCTGCATCGACCTGGAATCGGCGATCCGTCATCGATGGATCGGCGATAATAAATAATGAACCCGCACGCTTCTGGGCAGGCTGGAGAAATTGGGTTCACCATCGGCGATCAATGGGCGGTTGGAGGTCGATGCATGCCACCCATGTGCCCATCGCCCCCCCCCGATCCAGAGGGCAGAAAATCCACCCCGATAATAACCACCCCGACACGCGAAGCCGTTTAGCAAACGCGCCCAAAGAAGGAATCAAACCGGGGAGGGCTGTTTAGTAAACGCCCAAGGTCGTTCAGTAAACGCCAATTGTCCGGTCCGGGTGGTTTTTCCTCCCTTGACGATCGTTGCCCCTGAAGTCGTCGTGCTCGGCTCCACCGAACTTCCACGCACCACAGCGCGCACCGAGGCCCGCGGGGCCACCCGAGCAAGTCCTGTCCTGCAGAGAAGTAGAAGGTTAGGCATGCGCAAAAGGTTCTGGACGCCCAGAAAGGGCACGGAGAACAAATTGTGCAATGCCCAACAGCACATGATGCCACAAACCAACTCGGCGGTGGACAAACCTCCCTTTCGTAAACCTCCCCTTACTGAAAACGACCTAGGGCCGAAATCGACGGACCTGGACCCGCCAAAAATGACGGCAGCGACGCCCTCTCGCGAACCGGAAACGGCCAATTCCTTAATCGTCGCGTCAGGGCAATTAGGAGGTCTGCCCACCTCCCACCAGCAGCGGCCGCTGTGGGGCAGGCGGCCTTCCGTCGCAAATGGACACAGTCCGCGGCGACGCCGACAGCGAATCCGGTTCCAAATGGGCAAGAACTGCTGTCGGTCTTTGCGCCCATTCTTTCCGTGCCCGTTTCGACCGCCCCGAAAGGGGGGGGGGAAGGGAGGCGGCAAGGCGGCGGAGGACCTCCGCGGGCACCCGGCCCAGGGGGGGGCCGCATTGCACAGTCTGGCGAGCCACGGCACCCCAGAGCCACAGCCATCGCGCTACCAGAAGGGACGCCGAGGAAGGGAGGCGCCCAGGGACACGATCTTGGGGGCCTCTTGGGCCGTCTTGGGTCGTCGGAAAGCCGAGAAGAAGCGAATGCCAAAATCCTTCAAAAACCTACGTAAAATGAATGATTTGGGCCTCTTCGGGCCCTCCTTGAGGACCTCTTGAAGGCCTCTTGGGCCGTCTTGGAGGCCTCTGGGGGGCCTCTTGGGCCGCCTTGGGCCGTCTTGGACTCTCTTAGGCCGTCTTGGAGGCCGTCTTGGACCATCTGGGCGGACTTGGAGGCCATCTTGGACCCAGGATTCCCCAAATGTTGTTATACTTCCTGGATGGTTGTCTTCCCCTCCACGTCAGAGTTTCCAATCTACTCTTGGGAATCGACGTTTATTTTGTGTCTGTGTCTTTTTCCCCTTCCGAAGCCTTCGAAGGGGGCCGGGACCCCGTGTGCGTACTCAAAACGAAGAAGATGTCTGGGCGGAGGCCCCGAACACGAAGAACAGAACGGGAACCCTCTAAAGCTGGGACTGCTCTTGACCCTCGGGCCAGCTGAGCCCCTCGAGCAGGGCATCGGCTACAAAAGTAATGTGCCCCAACATTGGCTTGATCGTCGAGTCCATGAACAATGCGACATATTTGTTGTGGAGTCGACGACGCCATGAATTGTGGGGTGAACCCAACTTGGCTTTTGCGTCGAACTCATGATCATTGCGACGCCGCATCTTCGGAGAGCCAACGAGGACATCAATTAGGGGGTAAATCAATTCGGTCGTCGCTCCCCTTTGGACGCCCGGAATGGGTACGGAAAAAATGGGTACAATGCCCAACAGCAAATGTTGTCCCAAACCAACAGCGGCCGCTGTTGGGCAGACGGCCTTCTGTCTCGAATGGACACAGGCCGCGGCGGCGTGGACAGCGAAGTCTGTTCAAAATGAACAGGAATTGCTGTTGGGTATTGTACCCATTCTTTCCGTACCCCTTTCGGGCGTCCAGATCCCCTGCGTGGACCAGGAGGGAACGCGGAAGAGGACAGGAGAATGGACCATCGCTCGGACGTCCATTCCTCGTGTACTTTTCGATTTCGTGCGTGTGTTTTTTATTCGCCAAATGATCAAGGATGGTCCTCGATGGCCGTCGCCGAGAAAGGTGCACACGTCCGAGCGATGCCACGGACCAGGAGGGAGCGCGGAAGAAGGCAGGAGAGCGGGCCTCTCTCCGGCCTCGGCGAGCCTCGGCCGCCCTGGGAGGGCGGCCCGACGAAGCGCCGCCGGGGCCGCCCCGCCCCGAAGGGCCCAGGAACACGCACACACATTCACACACACACACACACACACACGCGCGCACGCACGCACGCACGCACGCACGCGCACGCGCACGCGCACGCGCACGCGCACGCGCACGCGCACGCGCACGCGCACGCGCACGCGCACGCGCACGCACACGCACACACACACGCACACGCGCACGCGCACGCACACGCACACGCGCACGCGCACGCGCACGATCGCACATACAAACCACGCCAAACGCACACACGCACACACGCACACCAGACGAACGACAGACAAAAGCCTTATGGGAGGAGGAGGAGGAGGCAGGAGAGGATGAGGAAGGAGGAGGGTGAGGAGGAGGATGGGATCAGGGGAGGGGAGTAGGATGAGGCCGGAGGGGGAGGAGGAGGAGGAGGAGGATTTCCCAAGATTGCTTCACATATCACATATGAGGCGTTCCAAAAGGGGCCTTGCCTTCGAGGGTCGAAAGGTATTGCCATCTCTTCCGCCGCGGAAGGCGGCGGAAGGGCAGCGGAAGTATAGCGAGGCCGCCTCCGCCGGCGGAAGTTGGCGGAAGGGCGGCGGAAAGCGGCGGAAGGAAAGCATGCGCCCCCAAGAGATGAAAACGTTTTGGGGTCCAGGGTTTCCGGAATCCGCCATATGTTCAAGGTGGTCCTCGTTTCAGCGTCTTGGCTGCATCCCTGGTGAACGCTTTCATATTTTCGGCGTTTCGACGTTGGGCGGAAGGGAGCGGGGGAGGCCTAGCTCCCCAGACCTCGGCTTAATGCGACTGCTTGAAGCAGTGCGCCCTATGGAGGAGACCCCGCCTGCTTGAAACAGGCGCCAACAACAGCGAAGATCTATTCCACGGGGAGGGGGGGGTGCGAGGGCCCGCGCAGATCGGCAAAACCAGAAATAAAAAAAATCGACGACCAGCAGGTCGATGTCTGAAGAAGCTGCCGGGGCTCATCCTTTGGAGGATGTCTGAAACGAAATGAACCCAGGGGGGTGTCCAATACCCCGGCGCCGATCGGACCCGTAGTGATAGGGTTCATAACGAACGGGCGAACGACCAACAATGCGGACAGCAGGCCAGTACCGGTATCGGAGAGGCCTCCAAAATATAATCCTGGAGTCGTCGTGTATCTGTGGTGCCGTGTCGGAGGGTCGTGCATCGTCGTGCTGGAGGGCTCGCAGGAGCTCGGCCGCAGATCGAGGGAGGGGGGGGGCGGGGACGGGGCGGACCCGGTGATGAGCCCGACGATAGCGACGCGGTCTGGTGCCTCATCCCAGGGCAGCGCTCTGCGATCCAGTGCCACAGTTTCGTGGGCCCTCCTTCGCCGCCCATCGCCGAGGACAGCGCAGGAGATGGAGGAGGATGGAGGAGGAGGAAGTGATGAGGAGGAGGTACAGGAGGCATGGAGTGAGGATGGAGGTCACGGTAATGAGAATGAGGAGGAATGGAGGAGGAGAATAGGAAGAGGAGGACGGATGGAGCCGAGGCTTCTGAGGAGGAGGTCAGGACGAGGAGGTATAGAATGGAATGGTAGGAATGGAGGATGGAGCACTGGCCAGGATGTGCCCCGCTTCACGCACGGGGGGCGGGTGCCTTCGACAGCTCCCCCGCCGGCGCCGCGGCGTCATCACATCAAAGAGTTCCCCTCGGGGACTCTTCGGGTGGGGGCTTTGCTCTCCTGGCCTCCGCGGAGCTCCTCGCCGGCGACGGCTGGACCCGCCGCCCCGCGGAGGCCGGCCGGCACGCGCGCGCGGGCAGGCCCAGAGCACCCCGTCGCGTCGAGGACGCTAGAGGGGCCCCAGGACACACAAATGAATACACACGAATAACAGGATTCCCAACATTTTCCCATACTTTCTGGGTTTTCGTCTTCCCCCCCACTTTCCATGTGTTCCCCTCTTCTCCTGGAGGTCGAGGATTCATTGTGTCCGTGTGTTTGTTCTTCTCCTGAGGCACGCCGCGACGAGGATCGGCTTCTGTCGGGCCCCGGGAGTCCCCAGAGGGCGGCTCTCGGGGGGAGGCGCCGCGAAGGAGGGGCGGCGTCGGCGCGGCGCAAATGCCTCTGTGGGGCCCACGCTGCGCGCAGAAGCGCCCCTCCCACCCACGAGCTCCCGGGGGAGCTCCCCTGGGGGGGGAGGAGGAGATGGAGGCGGAGGGGGGAGGGCATGGAGGCGGAGGAGGAGGAGGAGGAGGAGGAGGAGGCGGAGGAGGGGAGGAGGATGAGGAGGGGGTAGGAGGAGAGAGGGGAGGAGGGAGAGGAGGAAGGAGGAGGAGGAGGAGGAGGAGGAGAGGAGGAGGAGAGGAGGTGGTATGTGAGGAGGAGGAGACAGGGCGAGGAGGGGGGGAGGAGGTGAGGAAGGTAGGAGGTGAGGAGAGGTAGGAAGGAGGAGGAGGTGAAGGAGGAGGCAGGAGGAGGCGAGGCAGTAGGCGGAGAGGTAGGAGGACGAGGAGGGTGACGTAAAGGAAGGGACGAGTGAAGACCGGAGGAGAACTCCTCTCCCTGTCACACCCGTTCCCAGACATCTCGCGTGCCGATTTTTTCGAGACACGAGCCCCCGACCTCTCGACAACTTTTCTGGAACCTGATCTTCCTCCCGAGAAATTTCTTGACGGTCCCGAGGTCGGGTGAGGGCCCCGAGAAGCCGAAACGCTGAAAAGCCTCCGTCTCGACTTGTTCGAAACGCTGGTCGCCTGGGTTATCGCCAGGGGAAACAACTGGCCTCCAATGGCATAGCACCGCTCCCCAACATATAAGGTCCACTCCCGGGGATCGACTTCTCATCCTTAGCCGTTTCTTGTCGGTCCCAGGACCCGACGAGGGCCTCTGAAGGCCGAAAACAACGAAACACCTCCGCCTTTATGTTTTTTGCCATCGAAGCAAAACAACTATCTAAACGTTTTGGGGGGGATCCGCGCTGGACCCCCCTCCCTGGCGCACGGAGCGCGCCAGGGGCGGCGTCGGAGGCGCCGCCGTGGGGGCCCATGCGCGGATCCCTGGCGCACAGAGCGCCAAAAATTTATGTTTGTGGCGTTTCTGTTTCTCCTTCTTCTTCTTCTTCTTCTGATTCTTATTCCTTTTCTTCCTAGACGCAATACATTAGTTCCGCGATGCATCGGTGATGCTGTGCGATCATCCGACCCCGTCTGATTACTCCGGCCCCATCCGGGAGGCCTAGAGTCTAGACCCCTTCCCCGGGACAGGCTTTTCATCCCAAGCCGTTTTTTCACTGCCCCGAGGCCTGGTAAAAACCTCCCGTCGAGGGTCTGGAAGCCCCCTCGCCGCGCCGTCACTCCCGCCTGCCTCTCCCTCGCTGTGTCGCCACTCACGGAAAGAACGACTAGCCCCCGAAGAGAAACCGCCGACCCAGACCTCCGACGGCATGACTTTTTCATTACGTCGACCCCTTCACCGGGATCGGTTTCTCGTCGCTGAGATCTGGTTGGCCCAAGAGGGGGTCCAGCTGAAAGGGGGGGGTGCAAATAGGTTTGCGGCAATTGTATTGCACATGTGTTGCGCCGGAGAATTGTAGAGCCTTGTGCTGCAAGTATGTACTGCACGCGAAAATCCAGCAATGTATAATACACTTGCGCCCCGGAGTGTATTGCACGCCCCACATGTGTTGCAACCCCACCAACCAAATCTATTGCACCACTCCCTTGTCGCTGGACCCCATTTTGGGCCAACCCGATGAAAGGATCCTGAGTCATCGAGCCGTCTTTGGGCCGCTGTCGAACAACCTCCCGCCGCGCTTTTTCCATTGCTCGAGGGGGCCTGGGGACCCAGAC